CACACACACACACACACACACACACACACACAAATAAAATGAAAAATAAAAAAAATAAAACTATGTCAACTAAAAAAAAAAAAAAAAAAATTAAGTTGACCTAACAAATCTGTGAATTAAAATACATATAAAATGTGAATGAAGAAACTACAATTTTATTATAGGACATAAAAGAGGAGCTGGCTAAATGGAGAGAGATACTTTTTTTTTTTTTTTTTTTTTTTTTTTTTGTGGTACCAGGGATTGAACTCAGGACCTTGTGCTTGCCAGGCAAGCACTTATTCTACTGTGCTATCTTCCCAGCATAGAGATACTTTTTTGGATAGGAACACTGTGTCATGAAAAAGTTGATCTTGTTTTCTAAATTTCAGTTCAGTTGCCTCTCATTAGGAGTTTGTTTAGGGGATACATAATCCAATATTGAAGAGTCAGTATTTAAGAATAAACAAAAAGGTAGCCATAAGTTTATAGAATTAATTAATAAAATTCTTTTACAGTTTTAAAGTTAGAGAATTAACATACAAAGTAACATTTTTGTCCTTCTGCAAAAGTTAACACATAAATCAATTTAAGAAAAAAATAATAATTTGCAGGACCTGCTGACACATGCCTATAATCCCAGTTACTAGGGAAGCTGAGGCAGGAGAATCACAAATTCAGTGCTAGACAGGGAAACTCTGTGTGTGTGTGTGTGTGTGTGTGTGTGTGTGTGTGTGTGTTTTGAGACAGGGTCTCACTATGTAGTCCAGGCTGGCCTTAAACTCACTTATATAGCCCAAAGAGGCCTTGAACTTGAGGTGATACTCCTGCCTCAGCTTCTCTAGATCTAGGATTACAGGTGTGCACCACCATACCTGGCCTGTACTGGAAAACTTCCAAAACTTTGTTTCAAAATTTTAAAAAGGAATGGGGATGTAACTCAGTGGAGTGGTAGAGCACCCATGGATTCAATCCCCAGTACCATGAAAAGAAAAATAGTTTATTCAGAAGCAGACCTAGGAATTAATGGGATTAAATATATAGCAAAGATGGCATTTCAGGTTATCAGTAAAGACTTCGCTAGGCGGGGCATGGTGACACATGCCTTCCTGCACTGGGCAGGCTGAGGCAGGAAGGAAGATTGCCATGAGTGCAGGGCCAGCCTAAATACTTAGTGAGATCCTTTCTCAGAAAACTAAATCAAAACAAAAATTGGTTGCCTGATCCACCAGTTTACCACATTGTCATTTGGTGGAAAAGAAAAGCTGTATTGACTGTCTTGGGAGGACTGAAGGAGGTGTGGCAGTTTCTGTCCTGTTGGTCCCTGTCTTTTTCTATGCTTTTTTTCCTTCTTCTTCTTGACCCAGGGTCATAGTATGCAGTTCAGGCTGGCCTTGAGCTCACTTTGTAGCCCAGGTTTGTCTCAAACTCACAGTGACCCTCTTGCCTCAGCCTCCTGAGTGCTGGGACTACAAGTTTGCACCACCAGCCAGGCTTCCCCAGTCTTTTCTAGAGTAGGTAGTCCAGAGTTTTCAGGAAAAAAAAAAAAAAATCACTAAATCCAGGAAGCTGCATAAAACCTGAGTAGCACTGATCCTCCCTCAGCAGTGTCGTGGGCAAGACGTTAGTACAGCCTACTGTACATGGCAGCCTTCTTGGTGCACTTCCCCGTGTAGCTGCCCAGGCTCCCCCACTCAGGTGCAGTATCAGTGGAGGCGTAACAGCTGGCTCTACCCGCAGTGCCTGCCAGAGCCTGTTGGACCCAGAAATATCAGCTCACAGCCCAGACCTCCTGAGCTGGGACCTGCATTTCAATGGGACCATCAGACATTGTGCCCAGCTACTCATGTGCATTTGCTCAAGATTTCCTTCCCCAGCCTACTTTGTAGAGGAGACACTGAGGCCGGGGTGCAGACTGTACTTTGTGTCTCAGTTTGGACTTTAGCTCTAGACTTCCCCCCCACTGTCCGGATAGGACCAAGCCCTTGGTCATCTAGACTCCAAATCACTGACCCTAGACTGAGGCACATGCTATTGTTAGGACCAGATGAGGTAAGTGCTATTTGAAGGCTCTGGATACTGCAAAGTAGTATCCCTGTAGGTTTTACTGTGCTGCAGACATGACTTCTATAGCACACGTGTCAGTGCAGTACGTCCTGTAATTAGGAAGAGAACTTCTCTAAGTCCTGCTACACCTTTGACACAAATATGTGGTACAAAGCATAAAAGAACCAAATACTGTACACACAAATACTGTAAATAAAACTTTATGGACAGACACATGAGCTACTCCCAAGCATTGTTTGCATCCATGTATGTTTATAATCCCAGGTCTGTTTGTATCCATGAAGGCTCATCATACCAGATTGTCACTGTTAGGAGATCTGGGGTTGACCTGCTTATCAGTACCTCAGCCCCTTTGTACCTGACACTGATGGTTCAAGATAGGTTTGCTCCATGCAGTCCCCTTTCCTGAATTCCCAGGTACCCTTCTAGGCTCTCTAATTCATCTTGTCCTTAGATGTGGTATTACTAAAGAAAGAACAGTATAGTCAAACTTCAACTTGCATTAGCATGTCCTTTAATATATTTGATATGGGGTCTTACTACACAGCTCAGACTCCTAGTGATCCTCCTGTTTTCAGCCTCCCCAATGCTGGGATTACAGGCTACACCACCATGCCCGGTCTCAGTAGCTGGCTTAGCACACCCAGGGGTTGGGGTGGTGCGGCATGTGGTGCTAGGAATCAAACTCTACTCCCTACTCTTGCCAAAGCAGTCACTTAGTCCACTTAGCTGTCCTTTTTTTTTTTATTTTTTTTAAATTGTTATTTGTGTGTGTGTGTGTGTGTGTGTGTGTGTGTGTGTCCAGCTCAGCCCACCAGGGGGCGGGCCTGGCTGGCATGTGGTGCTGGGGGATTGAACCACAGTCCCTGTGCCAAGCCTGTTCTAAATAGGTGCTTTAGACCACTGAGCCATCTCACCAGCCCCTAGCATGTCGTTTAAACAGACATTACTGTGCCAGTTAAATGTGTAATTGCCATGTGATAGAATTGTCTTTATCTTACAAGTACTAGTCATTATTCTAAGACAGAAATCCTTGGTCTAAATATGTAATGGTTGACCTAAAAAAAAGAAGAAGAAAAATCTGTCCCATATGCATGCATACATACATACATACATACATACATACATTTATTTATTTATTTATTTATTTATTTATTTATTTATTTGGTATAGGGTCTTGCTATGCCACTCAGACTCATAGTAATCCTTCTGTCTCAGCCTTCCCAGCACTGGGATTACAGGCTTGCTCAATCACGCCCAGTTTTGGTGGCCACCACAGACAGCACACCCAGAGTTCTCAGAGGTGGCACAGTATGTGGTACCAAGTATTGAACCCGGGTCCTTGAGTTTGCCAGGCAGGCACTTAAATTCCCAAGCTATCTCCCCAGCCCTTTTTTTTTTTTTTTTTTTTTTTTCTTTCTAAGAAAAGAGTTTCAGGCTGGTCTTTTTTTATATTATTATTTCTTTTAATGTATTTGGTACAAGATCTGCAGAGTCTACAAGGTCTCACTACATAGATCGGACTATTAGTGATCCTCCTGTTTCCAGCCTACCCCAAGTGCTGGGATTACAGGCACATGCCACCATGCCCAGTCTCAGTTGCTGTCTCAATGTGCCCCAGCAGCAGAGTGGGCACAGCATGCTGGGGATCAAACCCTGGCTGCTGGCTCTGCCTAAGCAGGCACTTTAGTCCTCTGAGCTATCGGGTCAGCCCTTCAGGCTGGTCTTAAACTCACTTTTTTAGCCCATGCTGACTGCACACTTAAAGCAATCCTCCTGCCTCAGCCTCCAAGAGCTGGGATTGCAGGCATGCTTTGTTATACCCACAAAAAGCTGATAAAAGTTTACATAGCTATTAAAGTAGAAGAATATAAGGGCTGGGGAGATAGCTCAGAAGAATAAGTGGTCCTGAGTTCAATCCCCAGTTCTAAAAAGAATTAGTAATTTTTGTAGTTAGAGAAGGTAAGTCTTTTTTTTTCCCAGCTCAGCCCGCCCTGAGGGCATGGCTGGCACAGCCCATGGTCCCCTGTGCCTGCCTATGCTTGCCTAAGCAGGCACTTTAGACTGCTGAGCTATCTCACTGGCCATTTGCTGAAAAGTCGCCATCGTGATTATGGGAGGAAGTGTTGCCTATGCAGTGTGTTTCTAAAATTTAACAGAAAGCAAGTTAGGATTTTAAAAAAAGCAAATAAAAAGAAAACAGTGAATGTAATCATTGTATACTGAAAACGTACTAATAAAAAATGTTTAATTTTAAGAAACAAAATGTTGGCCTTATGAACTTTTTTCTTCTTTGTACACTATAGATAAACGCATGTCTTTGTATATTCTCAGCACAGGCTTTATCATTTGGCCTTCACCTCTAGTCCAGTTGCAGTATCACAACTGTTTAAATTATAGTACCCTGGGCCGGTCAAATAGCTCAGTGTGGGGGCTGGTGAGATGGCTCAGTGGTCTAAAGCACCTACTTAGAACAAGCTAAGCAAAAACACAGGGACCGCGGTTCAATCCCCAGCACCACATGCCAGCCAGCCCTGCCCCCTGGTGGGCTGAACTGGCCACACACACACACACACACACTAAATAAATAAATAAATAAATAAATAATCAAATAGCTCAGTGGATTCAAGTGCCTGCAAGCAGGCACAGGAGCAGGGGTTTTGATCCCTGGGCCTGCTGTGCTGGCCTCGCCCCTGGGGCACACGGAGACAGCAACTGAGAGTGGGTGTGGTGGTGCAGGCCTAGAGGCTGTAAACAGGCAGATCACTACGAGTCCAGTCTAGTATTGAGACCCTGAATACCTTGTAGACCCTTCCCTAAAATACAAAAAATAAATAAATTATAGCACCATAAAAAATAAATACATACGGGGCTGGGGAGATAGCTCAGTGGAATAAGCGCTTCCCTGGCAAGTGCAAGGGCCTGAGTTCAATCCCCAGTTCTGGAAGAAAAAAAAAAAAAATCATAAATTATAGCACCTTACTTTGTTTTCATAAATCAGAAAAGATTTCTCTCATTAGTGAATACTACTTTGGAAGGTGGGCAGCACAGTAATAAAGATTGAGGCCAGGAGCTTTACATGGATCATCTACAACCTTTCTTAAAATTTTGAGACATGGGCCGGGGAGATGGCTCAGTGGAATAAGCGCTTCCCTGGCAAGCACAAGGGCCTGAGTTCAATCCCTGGTTCCACAAAGAAACAAACAAAAAATTTGAGACAGGCTGACTATATTGGAAAACCTTTCCATTCTCCTGCCTCAGCCTTCCAAGAAGCTGGGATTACAGGTGTGTAAATGTACCTGGTAGTAACAGTTTTAATAGTAGTGTGATATACTGCATGGGTAGCCAGTAATTCAGCTGATCCTCTGTTGTTGGACCTGGAGGATGTCTTTTGAATGAGTTATCCTGTGTGTGATTGCTTGTAAAGGTGATGTTTACAGCAGGCAAATCCTGCATCATAGCAGTGGGGATACCTGTACTTCTAGTTGTCTTTCTCCTGCTCCTTCCCACTTTTGACTTGTGTTTTATTACTTAATGACTCCTAGACCAAAGAATCTGTGTTTACATTCTAGCACAAAGCATCCTCATTTTGTTAAGTAGTAGATTTTTTTTTTTTTTTTTTTTTTTTTTTTTTTTTCTGTGCTGGGAATCAAACTTAGGACCTTGCACAGGTGCTTGTGCCGCTGAGCTATCTCCCTGGTGGCATTGTGTTAAATAAATTGGCCTGTAAGAACATTTATATCACCTCTCCTTTTATTTGACAGATACAGAAAATTGAAGGATTAATATCTTATCGGGACCCTCATTTTTGGCGTCATTCTGCCAGTATTGTGGCAGGAACAATTCATATACAGGTAACATCGGATGTGCTGGAACAAAGAATAGTACAGCAGGTAATAATTTTTTGTTTTTATAATTTCAGTTGAGATAGTGCTTACATAAAAGTGCACAGATCATTCATCATACAGCTCAGTAGATACTTTTCAAAAGTAATCTTTTAAGGTTGGGTGTGGTAGCACACACTTGTAATGCCAGCGCTAGGGAGGCTGAGACAGATCACTGCAAGTTTGAGGCGAGCTTGAACTATATGGTGAGACCCTGTTTCAAAAACAAAATCTTAATCCCTGGTATGGCAAAAAAATCTTAGGGCTGGCCAGATTGCTCAGTGGATTAAAGCACCTGCTTACGCACAGGGACTGGGCTTTAATCCCCAACACCACATGCTGTGCCAACCCCACCCCCAGGACTACTGAGACAGCAGCTGAGACCTGGCATGGTGGCATACGCCTGTAATCCCAACACTTGGGAGGCTGAAAACAGGAGGATCACTTTGAGTCCAAGCTGTGTAGTGAGACCCTGTACCAAATGTATTTAAAAAAAAAAAAAAAAAACTTTCAACAGCTCAACAGTAATACAACTTATTTTTTACCTTTAGATTTATTTTTTTTTAATTTTTTTTTATTATTTATTTGAGAGAGAGAGAGAGAGAGAGAGAGAGAGAGAGAGAGAGAGAGAGAGAGTGGTGTGTGTGTGTGGCCAGCTCAGCCCACCAGGGGGCGGGGCTGGCTGGCATGTGGTGCTGGGGATTGAACCGCGGTCCCTGATGCTTTGCTAAGCTTGTTCTAAGTAGGTGCTTTAGACCACTGAGCCATCTCTCCAGCCCCCTTTAGATTTATTTTATATCCAAAAATGATTACAATTAAGTTTTGATTAATATAAGAAAATTCATTTATTATACATTTTGGTTCCCAGAAGTAATATTATTGTAAATAATATTGTAAATATACCCCTAAATTAACAGAGCCTGGGATGTAGCTCAGCAGCAGAGCACCTGCCCGGCAAGTACAAGACCCTGAGTTCAATACCTGGTACCAAAAGGAAAGAAAACTTCACTAATCACCAAGTTGGCAGAGGATATGCTGTATGTGGATATTTGGATATATGAATCAAAATAGTTTGTTACAGGGTCTCACTACATAGCTCAGACTCATAGTGATCCTCCTGTTTTTCAGCCTCCCCAGCGCTGAGATGAAAGGAGTGCACCACCACACCGGGACCCAGTAGCCTGCTGAGCACACCCGGGGGTGGGGCCTGTGGTACAGGGGCTCGAACTCCAGTCCCTGCACTTGCCTAAATAGACACTTTAAGAGTTGTCCACTGAACTATCTTGCTGGCCCTAATTCTATAAGTAGTTCTATAAGCCCAACATCATGGCACATACTCTGGGTGGCTGAGGCAGGAGAATCACAAGTTAAAGCCTCACTTAAGGCAGTGAAGTAATTTAGCAGGACCTTCTTTTATCCTTTGTTGTTTGGTACCAGAGATCAAACTCCAGACTTTGCACTTGCCAGGTAGGTGCTTATGCCGCTGAGCTATATTCCCAATGCAAGACGTTTTCCGTTTCGTTTTTTATGCATTTGGTACAGGGTTTCACTATGCAATTCGGACTCCAGTGATCCTCCTGTTTTCAGCCTCCCCAGCACTGGGATCAGAGGCGTGCACCAGGTCTCCAGCTCAGCATGCCTGAGGGCAGGGCTGGCTCAGCATGCAGACCCCAGTCCCTGCACTTGCTTAAGCAGGCACTTAGCCTGCTGAGCTATCTCACCAGTCCAAGACGTTTTAAAATTAAAATTAAGTTGGGCGAGGTCATACCCGCCTATAATCCCAGTAATCAGGAGGCAGAAGCAGGAGAATTGTTAGGAGTTTGAGACTAGCCTGGGCTACAAAGTGAGCTTAAAACCATCCTGAACTGCACAGCAAGACCCTGTTTCAAAAAGACAAAAATAAATAAATACAATTAAATTTTTTTTAAAAAGGGCCAGGGAGATGGCTCAGTAGAATAAGCACTTGCCTGGCAGGCACAAGGGCCTGAGTTCAATCCCCAGTTCTGCAAAAAAAAAAAAGTTCTATACGAGGCTGGAGAGAGAGCATGGCAGCATAAGAATCTGCCCAGCAAGTAAGTGCGAGGTCCCAGGTACTGCATGCCATGCCAGCCCTGGAACAGGGTGTGGTGGCAGACACCTGTAATGTGAGCATAGGCGAGCCCAAACTGTATCAAAATAAATAGTTTTTTTTTTTTTTATACTGTGTTTAGTACAGGGTCTCACTACACACAGATCGGACTTGTAGTGATCCTCCTGTTTTTCAGCCTCCCAAGTGCTGGGTTTACAGCCGTGGGCCACCATGCCCAGTCCCAATTGCCTGCTCAGCACGCCCAGGGGGCAGGGCCGGCACAGCAGGCTGGGGATCAAACCCTGGCCCCTGCATCTGCCTAAACAGGTGCTTTAATCCGCTGAGCTGTCTGGCCACCCTCAAAATAAATAAATAATAAAGAAATAGTTCCATAACCTAAGCCAAATGTGCCAAAGTGAAACCATAGATGTTTTTTCTCCTTCTGTACTTTTGTGTCAGGTCAGGGCTGATCTGAATGCAGCAGTGCCTCCAACTAATTGATCACAGCCAGTTACAGATTCCTGCATTGCTTCTCCACTCCCACTGCTGCACTTACTAGCCTAAAATACACAAATGTCAGGTTGGTAATTTAATGACCTTCCTAGAGAGTCACTGAACATTTTGACTGAATAGGAAATTACTACTGTGAAGCTTTATTGTAGACTGTAACTATAATTATATTATTTAAGACATTAAATGCATTACTCTAAATGTTTTTAAATGTTCGGTTTTTATAATAGGTTACAACAATACTTAAAGATGCTGGAATAAACAATTTAACAATTCAAGTAGAAAAGGAGGCCTACTTTCAACATATGTCTGGCCTAAGTACTGGATTTCATGATGTTCTGGCTATGACAAAACAAATGGAGTCTATGAAATACTGCAAAGATGGGACGTACATCATGTGAGCCCACACGGGAGCACCCCTGGATGTCGGCGGTGGACATGAAGTAACTCAGTGTTTGTAATAGTGCTTGAAGGACAAAAATTGCACCTAATTGTACAAAACCTTTTAAAGCTCACTACTACTTGGAGATTGAATCAAGGAATTTTTCTTAAAGAAAATTTAAATACAGAATAAAACATTATTGGTTCAAGAAAAATAATTACATTTGAATTATGTGTATGAAAGGAACTTTTAACATTTGAGTGAACATACTATATCACATCATCTTAAATGAACACATGATGGATTCTTTTTTTTTTTTTTTCTTTTCTTTTGGTACTAGAAATCAATTCCAGGACCTCAAACTTGCCCAGCTTGCGCTGTACCACTGAGCTGTATCCCCAGCCCAGTGATGGATTCTAATGAAGACCAAAATTACTTGTTTACTTTCTATCAGAAAGCATCTCCATTGTAAATATGTATTTACATGTTTATTACAAAGACCCAAATGAAGTTTTTAGTCAATTTTTTTGCATAGCCTAAAGATAAACTAGGAATAAAAATTCTATATTTATGGATTTTCTGTATATAAAACTGGTTTCTAATTATTTAAGTCCATTAAGTAAAATCTGTCTTGCCACTTCAAATGTAAACTAAACTATTTAGATGAAATTGCAGCCATTGATTTAAGTAATGAAAACAGAAAAATATGACACAGTTTTTGATGTATTACAAGACCAACCACTGTAAAATAAATTTTTTTTACTTTTGGTAATTTTTGCAAATGAATAATTAATTGATTAGGGTTAAGAACTCACTCTCAGTGGTGTCTGTGTTATCCCCTCCCTTGTCATCCTCCTCCACAGCGAATCCTCCATCTCTTGTTACACCACTGGCCTTCCTGGCCGCTGTCACACTGGTGCCCAGGCAACCCGTCCTGTGCATCGTCACATCTGTGTCATGGAAGAACCCACTGGTAATGACTGCCAGCTAAGAGCTGCACACTCTGCCAATGGAGATAGTTTTCTAATTTCTGGAAGATATAGATATATTTTAAAAATTCAAAAAATAGCTGTATCAAGGTTTAACAGAACTTCTCCATAAGCCTTTGGACAATGAATTTGTGTGTGTGTGTGTGTGTGTGTGTGTGTGTGTAACCAGGGATTGAACTCAGGCCCTCGCACGTGCCAGGCAAGCGCTTAATCTACTGAGCCATCTCCCCAGCCCCTGGACAATGAAATTAAAGTGCCCTATAATTACTTTCCATGGTGATACCTAATTCATATCTCCACTTCAAGTTTAACTATATGCCTACTCTGAAAAGACTTTTATGATAAACAGATAAATACATAGTTTTATGAACACTAAAGATTACTGTCCAGAAGATTTTTTATTGTATATTTGTAAGCATCTGAATATTTTTATTCTTATACTACAAAATTTAATAAATAGGATGAATTTAGTATGGTTACTATTTTCTTATCGATACCGTGATGGCAAATTTAATATGTACATATTTACTATGTGAGGAGTTTAAAATTGGTTGTTTTGATATTTGTCTTCTCCTTGCACATTTTTTGGTCCAGAATCTTCAGAACACATTAAATTTTTTTTAATGAAATATGGATTTATTTTTTTTTTACATTTAGTGTGTGTGTGTGGCCAGCTCAGCCCACCAGGGGGCGGGGCTGGCTGGCATGTGGTGCTGGGGGATTGAACAGCAGTCCCTGTGGTTTGCTAAGCTTGTTCTAAGTAGGTGCTTTAGACCACTGAGCCATCTCACCAGCCCCAACACATTAAAATTTTTGAGTGGTGGGAAAAATCATTGCATATTCCTTTTTTTTTTTTTTTTTTTGAGACAGGGTCTGCTCTGCATATTCA